TTTTTAATCAGTGTTCTTGTTGACAGACTCTTAATCAAAGCGGGTCGACGTGTTCGTTCAGTGGTTTAAGTCGTTGAACTCTGAGGTTTGTTCAGGACGAGTTCCTCTGAAGCTCCACAGCTGTGACTGAACGTCGTCTTCTGGACGATGCAGCATCCTCAGGTTCAGCTGCTCTCACCTGATCAACCTGTAGCCGGGTCTTAAAAGGCTTTATTAGGCGAGCGAAGGCCTCGTGCCTGGATTCAACACACACACACACACACACACACACACACACACACACACACACACCCAGTGGCAGCGCCGGTGAAAGCCAAACCGCAGAGCTGCCGGTGTGTGTTTGTGTGTTCGCTTTATTATCTGGGCGTGTTTGTGTGTTTGCTGCCGGAGGGTAAATAACGTCTGATTTGTACTGTGACTCTGCAGCCTTCAGTTCAGTTTCCCCTCAATGTCACACACTGTATAGGTGTGTGTGTGTGTGTGTGTGTGTGTGTGTGTGTGTGTTCAGGGTTTCATGTCAGGTTATAATCCTGTCAGCCTCAGAAACCTGAACTGACACGAACAAGAGAGCGAGCGAGGGATGAATGACAGACTCTCTCTCCCTCACTCTCTCTCTCTTTGTCTGGGGTTGCCATGGCAACAGGCCGGAGTCGGTTGCCATGGCTGTCGGTTAGAAAACTGCTGCCTCGGTGTCTCTGAGCAAAAGAGGTTTAAGGAGGTGAGAAGCAGAAGAAGAACAAACAAAAACATCAAACGTGAGACTCGGAGAAAATCAATTAAGAAAATCAACAGAAGAAATCAAAGACGAACCGAAAACCAACAGCGGCGTTCAAGTCGAGACAAAAAGCAGCAGAAATATTCACGTGAGACTCGAAAATAAGCAGCAATATAAAAATAACGACTAAAAATCTGCAGAAATATGAAAATCATTTCCCAAACCAGCAGCAGCTTCAGACTGAAACCTTGGAACTGACGTTTCTGATAATATGTCAAAGTAAAGACGCCTCAATACGAGACTCTTTAAAAAGTCAAAGAGAAAACCTGAAAACCAATAAAATGTCAAAGTCAAGACTTAAAACAGAAAGACAACATCCAATAAAAGATTCAAAACCAGATAAAAATCCAACTAGAAACTGAAAAACCAACAGAAACATCAAACTAAGGCTCTGAAAAGCAACTCATGTGCTGGCATTGGGGCTCAAAACAGACAAAACATGTCACAGAAGTGACACAAAACCAGATAAATATTGAATCAAACAAAGGAAAAGAAACCAGAAATGTCAAACTAAAGACAAACATCAAACTACGACTACGAAAAAATACCAAAAATCCAACAGCATGAGACTCAAAATCCAACTAAAGAGAAATATCAAACTAAGACGCTTAAAAACTCCAAATAAGACGTGAAAACCAACATATGTATTGAAATTAGGGCTCAAACACACAAGAAACATCAAATAAAAGATTAAAAACCAGATAAAATCCAACTATGAAGCAAGAAAACCAACAGAAATGTCAAACTAAAGACAAACATCAAACTACGACTACAAAAAATAAAAAAAATCCAACAAGATGAGACTCAAAATGGGACAAACATCCAACTAAACAGTTAATAACAAAGACAAATATCAAACTAAGACTCTTAAAAACTCCAAATAAGACGTGAAAACCAACAGAAACAGATACGATGAGATGACATTTGAAGAAAACTAAAACTACACTCGAGGTCGTCGA